TTGAACCTACAGAGATCTATCTGTCTCTGCCTCCTGAGTGCTGGGATTAAAGGCGAGCACCACATACCTGGTTATAATATTAATTTTTACAGATAATAAATATTGCCTGCCAATTTATACTTTCACCAGAAACACAAAAATGCCACATTTCTGTACTCCTTTGCCAACCCAGTTTGTTTTTCCAAGGGCAAGATATCATATGGTCCAAGCTAGCCTCAAACTGTGTGCATGAAGAGGGCCTTGAACTTCTGATCCTGTCTTTACCTCCCAACTGCCGGGATTGCAAGTGTGTGCCTCCATGCCCAGTTTATTGCCAGTATCTTTGCAATAAGGAGAAAGTCATGTTTCACAGTTCTGATTATCATTTCAACTGTCAGGTTAGGAATCTGTACCTAGCCAGGCCTTGTGGTGCATGCCTCTAATCCCAACACTTGGGAGGCAGAGGGAGGTGGATATTCTGAGTTGTAGGACAGCCTGGTCTGTATAGCACATTGCAGGTCAGCCAGAGCTGCACAGTGAGACCCTTTCTCAAAAAGTGATCGAAAGTAAACAAACAATAATCTTTTCCAATGGAAATAGAGATGCTCAGCAGTGAAGAGGTGCTTAACAGGGGTCCCAGGTTCAGTTCCCAAAATCCCAAAATCTACATGGTGACTCACCACTATCTGTAAGTTTTAATAGACTCAGCCCACTCTTCTGGCCTCCGTGGCACCAGGCATGCACATGATGCACAGACATGTATGCAGGCAAAGCACTCATGCACATTAAATAAAAATACTTTTTTATTTAACTTAAGAACTTTTCCTCAATTAAAAGCCATTTTTACTCTTTTCCTTCAATCCATTGAACCTCTAATGTATCAGAATTCTGGTTGCAAGCTATAGAAACCAGCTCGTCAACTCAAGTACAAAGGAGAAATGTGCTAACATGATACAGGAATCTGTATCTTGTAGAACCTAAAAGCAAAACAAAACAAAACAAGAAGAACAGTTCATTAAGATAGACAGGGAGGAAGGAAGGAAAGAAGGCAGGCAGGCAGGAAGTGTCTCAGAAACCAAGCAATGCCTTCATCCCATCCCTTCTCTGTTCTCTGTGTGGGTGTGTTGTTCGCTTTTATTGCTTCCAGTGAACATGGTCATGCAACTGTTGGAGGATATTTGATCACATTGTGAACCTGAGATTTCACTGTTTACTGGAGGAACCTGCTTCTAGATGTGGTGTGACTCAGTCCTAGCACATACCTTTAATCCAAGAGCTTTTTGCTTGAATACTGTAAACAGGATTAAATAAAATCTTCCATAGGTCAAGATGTAGAGCAAGCAATCAGTTGACAGGAAGTGGCCATAGAGTGGAGAAAATCAGGAGAACAGGGAGAGAAAGACACAAAGTAAGTGATAACCAATTGGGAGGGTTTTTGTTAGCGATGTTGTAGGGGAAAGCTCTCTTTCTGGGACACTGGTCAAGGATGAAGCAGCTGGGTGCTTTCTCAGCCTCTCTGAGCTAGCAGGTTTTCACCCCAGCACCTACTCCCGAGCCTTTATTGATAAAATAGGGTGATAGTGACTTAGATAAAAATAACAACTCAAGGATTTGCATTTGTATATTCAGTTACTCAGAATGAACTTCTACTTCAGCCAGACATGGGACAACATTATGACCACATTGGAGTAGAATCACTAAGCAGAAAGGTGTTAACTGAAAATGTCATCCCAGGTTAGACTGGTGAAACAACCATTGGTAGTCATTAATAGCAAGATGATGTGGATGTTCCTTCGAGCTCTACTACTTGCACAGAAAGAAGCACAAGGGGCAAGAAGGGTATAGTTAGCTGGGCTGGTTTAGGGACTCTAACCCTAAGCAGTTTATTTTTGACATATTTAGGCACAGTACAACTTTGGGGGAAAGTTCCCATGTGACAGTTATCATAGCAAAGCTTAGGTCATGACTACATCACTCCTTTGCAAAGTACATGCATGTCTTTTGCAAAGTACTTATGGACACTTCCACAAGACTGGGTTCTGTTGACTGCCAATGCTTAGGGTAAGAGTCTAGGGAGGAAGGGTTTGTAATAAGCATAATAAACTCTTCTGCAGAGTACATGGAACCTCTTTCATAAAAATGGGTTCTATTAGTGTAGAGGTGGTGATGCTCAGGAGACAGAGGTAGGCAGATCTTTGTGAGTTTGAGGCCAGCCTGATCTACAGAGCAAGTTCCAGGACAGCCAGGGACTACACAAAGAATCCCTGTTTTGGGACACCACCACCACCACCACCCCCCCAAAGAAAAGGAAAAAGAAAAAAAAAAAAGAATGGGTTCCAGTGACTGACAAACCATGTGTGGGAGTCTTGAAAGTGTCTGGTGAAGCCTGGCTCTACAGAATAGTAAGACACCAGGTTATAAGCAACATCCACTCCAACCTTCTGGGTAGAAAACAGGTATGTACATCCCTTTCACCAAAGAGAAAAGCCTGTGTGTGTGACAGTCCTGTTTGTCTTAATGTTCATCTATTGGCATGTGTGCCCCCTATAGAATGTGATATTTTTCTTTTGTTTTTCTTAAACTAGGATAGTGTAGGGAGTGGATGGAGTATATTACACCAGTTGAAAAAAATTAAGAAAGAAACAAAACATGTTCTTACCTCCTAGGGATAGCACTCTTGAATAAAGCATTTTGCTGTCTTCTGTTTATTGGGGGGGGGGGTTAACTAGAGACAGAACCTAGTCCTCACACATGTAACTGTGACCTCTTCCACTAAGTTACTTCCCTAGCCCTATTGTCTTAGTGTTTTATTATTATTTGACAATGTCATGTATGTATATCGTGTATTATGATGATCCACTACCCAATTGCCTGCTCTTACCCTCTCCCATTTCTGCTGACCCCCTTCCCATCTAGCCCCTCTAATTTCATGTTAGGGTGGGGGAGTATTTACTGGCACTGGGCAACTTCTAGTGGCTATATTACTGAAGAAAATGACTTTCCTTCCCCTGACAATCATTAACTGCCAATAGCTGTCAGGGAAGGGGAGAGCCCCTCCTCTTCCATGATGGAATGTTGAAGGGGCCGATCATGTACAGGTAACCACAGCTGCCATGTGTTTATTATTATTACAGCCATGGCATGTCCACAAAACAGTGTGCCTTCCCCATCCTCCAGCTCTGAGCCTTGAAAGGGAGTAACAGTTGTCTCACTAAGGGTACTGCACTTAGCAGTTACTTGTTCCCAGCATTTTAACCAGGAGTGAAGCCCTGTGTTAACCACCACCCACTGAAAAATGCTTCCTTGATCAAGGCTGAGAGCAGCACTTTGGGTATAAACATAAATACTTATCAAGCTTTTTGACCCAGGGAGTTTATAGCTTGTGTTTTTGAAGCAGTATGTGCCTCCTGCCTCTGCCTCCCCAGTGCTGGTATTAGAAGTATGTGACACCACACCCAGACCCTATATACATTTAAGTATCAATGAACAGCTTCTTCTCCTCCCACCCCCCTTCAGTTTCTCAAGACAGGGTTTCTCTGTGTAGCCCTAGCTGTCCTGGAACTCAATCTATAGACCAAACTCAAGAGATCTGCCTGCCTCTCTCTGCCTCTGAGAGCTGGGACTAGTGAGGGTGAACATTTAGGTAAGTGGTCAAATGCTTGCCCAGCATGTACAAGGGCCTGTGTTCAAAGCCAACACCACACAAAGAGAAGAGAGAGGAGGGGAGTCAGCAAGCAGGTTAGTGTTAAGGCTACCTGCTCAGTGTATTCTGACAGGGCACTCACTACAGGAAGTTGGAAGAGTTAGTACCTGAGAAACTCACCCAACATAAAAATTTTCTTGCCAAAGAACTATCAATATTGCTAAGACAATAACTTGAATGAATGCTACAAATATTTAGTCATGAATTATGATTTATTCTTTTACTCATTTCTTCATTTACTTATTCTAGGGCTGGCTAATCCTGTCTTTAGATAACACAGTAAATTGATGATATCAAATCTTACAGACCCAAGAACTGTTCCGTCTCTGTAAGGATAAAGTCACGTACCTCCATTTTTAGCAAGTACATGTGTGCCTGGGTATCGGAATGATTTAACTTACTGATATTTTTGGATTTTGTTTTAGCTTGTATATTCCTAGCTAGATGACATGAGAACCTTGCACATAAAATAATTTAATTTCTGAAGAAATACTCTTAAATACATACACTACAGATTTATTTTGAATTAGCAACAATGAAAAGTGGTAGAGAGAGTTCTTGGAAGCTCAATGATGTGGTTTCAGACCTTAGTACTGTAACAAAACAGAAAGCTTCAGAAGTCAGTGTGGTGTCCCTTGCCTTTCTCTCAGAACCCAGGAGGCAGAGACTGGCAGATCTGTTCCAGGCCAGTCTGAGCTACATAGTAAGTTCCTAGCCAGCCAGAGCTACACAGTGAGACCCTATCTCCAAATCAACAAACCAACCAGAAAAGTAACTAATCACATCACTCATTTGTATTCTCAGGAGGCTGAGACAGGAGGATCATGACCTTTTTTAAGTTAGCCTGGGCTATACATCAAGACTATCTTTTAAAAATAAATAGTAAGTTTAATGGCAGGGGCAGGCTGGAGAGATAACTCATCGGTTAAGAGCACTAGATGTTCTTGCAAAGGACCTGGGTTTGGTTCCCAGCACCCACATGGTGACTCGCAGCCATCCCTAACTCCAGTTCCAGGCTTTTCAATACCAGTATTATCTTCTGATCTCCATATGCATCAAGCATATACATAGTGCACACATATACATGCAGGAAATCTTTTTTTTTTTTTTTTTTTTTTTTTTGAAAAAAATCTTTATAGATATTTTCTGTGTAGTGATGATGTTACTAATAAATGTTCTTAAATAACTGCCAGCCTATACTGTTTGGCACATCTGTAAGAATAAACTGCCTGTCATGGTACGCTAGGGCTTTGAACTATCTTGAATATATTTTAATGTATTACAATTATTTTTGCATTCTTAACAATAATTATTTTAGGTCTACTGGCTATTCAGAGGTGATAGTTGTGGTTGGAGGCTGTGAACGAGTTGGAGGATTTAATCTTCCATATACTGAGTGCTATGATCCAGTAACAGGAGAATGGAAGTCCTTGGCCAAGCTTCCAGAATTTACCAAATCAGAGTATGCTGTCTGTGCACTAAGGAATGATATTCTTGTCTCAGGTAAATAATTACTGTAATAGCTACTATTTTTAATTTGGATACAAATTGACTTTTTAAAAATTTATTTATGTATGAGTGCTTTATCTGCATGTATTCCTTTATACCAGAAGAGAACATCAGATTCCACTAACAATGGTTTTAGCCACCAAGTGGTTGCTGGGAAGTGAACTCAGCCATCTCTCCAATTCCCAGATTGTTTAAAAAATAAAAAAAAATCTTGTTGAGCATAAAATGGATATTTCAGGCAGGCCAGTTTATGCAAAACTGAAAAGACCTTTTGGTCATGATACTTGAAATGCATTTGCAGATGCTTAAGAGTCTATGTGTTTTATGTTTTAAGTGTGTGTGTGTGTATGCATGCACATATGCAAGTACATGTGTGTTCATGTGCATGCATGTGGGAGACAATAAAACTGGCTGCAGAGGCCAAAGGAAGTCATCAAATATGGAGCTGAAGTCCTAGGCAGATGTAAGCTCCATGGGTGTACTGAGAACACTCAAGTCCTCTGGAAGAGCAGCACCCTGCTCTGATCATGGAGCCAGCTCTTCATCTGGAAACTATAAAGTCAGAAGTGTTCATACAATTAAAGAAGTTTAATTTACCTGTTTTCTGAAATTCTCTCCCAAAGTTTCACTTGGAATTTTTCTATAAAATTCTTAAGTTAAACATACTTACTGTACATGATGTCAGATAAAATGACCGATTTTCAAAAAGTATATCTAGTATCTATGCTTTGAAGCCTGTTGATTGACAAATAATGTAGTTAACTTTGCAGATTATTATTTTACTACCCAGTGAATGACACTGCAACATACATCTGATTTTGTATGTTTTTTAAACGACTTTAGAACAATCCTGCTATTTGTAGTTACCTCGTGACTGATTGATAAAACTCACTGTATTTTACTCTTGTGGAGCTTATGGTCATTATATTCTCACGATAACACCTGGCATTATTTGAACCTTCTCTGTGTAACTATTTCCATTAAGCTAGAGAAGGCCCCTCTATTATTTGTTGAGCTAGTTCTGAACTTGTCAAATTGATGGGTAAATTATGCTGTGTTTACCCATGTTAATGGCACAGATCTCTAGGTCCTGTTTAGTGACATTGCTGAATGTGCACTGTTTTGCATTTGAAGGCGGAAGAATCAACAGCCGTGACGTCTGGATTTATAACTCACAGCTGAATATCTGGATCAGAGTTGCTTCTCTAAATAAAGGCAGATGGCGCCACAAAATGGCTGTCCTTCTTGGTAAAGTAAGAGAAACAGCTTTATATTACTACTGCTGGTATATGTCCAAAAGAAATGCATCTTGCATTTTGTCTTCAAATTTCCTTCCATTTCTAACCAAGATAAATTAAACACTGTACTTTTTGAATATAGACTTTTGTTCTGATTTCAAATTTGTGGCAGTATAGCACAGTTGGAATGCAAATGCTTAAGAACTACAAAGTCATTATATCTGATACAAAACCAGGCTAGAGTCTAGTCCACATAGCTTTTTTTCTTTCACTGACTGGCAATCTTGCAGAAAAATGTTTAAGTAGTATTGTTTAGCCGTCTTTATTTGTGCAAGAGAGAATAAAACTAAGATAAACTCTCCAACACGCATGCTTAAATTTCCAGGTGAACACTTGTACTTGGAAACCAGGGGAAGAAGTCAAATGTCCTGCTCTGTAACTTCACCGTAATCCTTTGAGGCAAGGTGCCAGTCAGCAAGCCCTATACCCCACAGCACTGCTGTTACAAGACATTGCCTGGTTTTTTTATGTGGGTGTTGGGGATTTGAACTCAGATCTCTATGCTTTCACAGCAAGCCCTCTTACCTGCTTATCCATTTCCTCAGTCCCTTCATCAATATGTTTTATAGAAATCTGTTATAGACTATAGCCTACAAACATAATAAAATAGATACAACTGGATGCTAAACAAGATGCTCCACCTATAATCCTGGCTCTCGGAGGCCAAGGTGCTCTTGGGGCCAAGGCAGGAGTGTGTCACAAGTGCCAGGCCAGGCTGAGCCACACAGTAATACTAAAAATAAAAATTCACAATTTGGGTTCTGAACCATCAACTACCATTGTTTAATCTGAAGCTGGTCTGTGAGCTAGTGGTTTGGAACATTTTTTAAAGGCAGAGTCTCACTGTGTAGCTAGCCCTAATAGGTCTGGAACTTACCGAAATCTGCCCAAACCTCTGCCTCCTGAGTACTAGGATTAACGGTGTGCACCACCCTGCACAAATGGTTTTTGGGTTCTTGAAGCACTACACTCACTTTTTAACATTAACTAGAGAGAGATGTGTCACTTGTGCTCCCTAGAAACTTGAAACTGTTAGCCATTCCCCATGATCTTTGTCACTTTGTCCAAAATACCTCAAATTAAGTGCAGTGAGTTTTCCCTTGGCATGTAGCCCCATTTCTGAGAAAATGTGGGGTCTTAAGCTTTAGTAGGATACATTTCAGAGCCACCAATATAAACCAGAACTTAGTCTAACCAGAGGTGGTTGCCCTGATGACTTCCCTTCTTAGCCCCCATAGAGGCATCTTGAAACCTTCATATTATGAAATACTGAAGCATCTTAGACAGTGTCAAGGCTGTTGCTTAGCTAGACACAGTGTCTGCTTGCAAGACAGAGGTAGAGAAGACCAAAAGTTAAACCAGCCTGGACTATATAGCAAGTTTGGGGCAGGCTTGGACTATACCTCTTTCTCAAAAAAAAAAAAAACAAAAACAAAAAGCAGAGGAGAACATGGGAATCCCAAACACAATGTATATTATACACTTATATAAAAATATCCTTATATACAATGAATACAGAAACAAAAATTTTGTAGCATTAAAGGAATTCGAAATAATTTTAAATGAAAAGTCAACATCTTGTTTGAGATATACATATATGATTACCACATATGTGCAGGTACCTGTGGAGGGTAGAAGAGGTATTAAATCCCCTGAAATTGGGGTTATTAGCAGTTGTGAGCCCCATAATTTGAGTGCTAGGAATCAAACTCCAGGCCTCTGTAAGAGTAGAAAGTGCTTGTAACCGGATAGCTGTCTATCCATTCCCTGCTTTGGGTGACAGATCTCATGACTTCCAACTCTGTAACTGAGGGTGGGTTTAAACTCCGGGTTGTCCTTCCACACTTCTGCAACACCCCCACTCCAGTATGAATTAAAAGAAACATTCATTTCCACTCCATGGAGGTCAAACATTCGCCACACAAGTGTGAGAATCAGAGTTAAAATCCAAAGAAGCTACATAAAACCAAGAGCAGTAGCATACGTGTAATCTCAGTTCTGTGGCAAACTTGGTGGAAAAGACGGAAGAATTCCTGGAAGCTCCTTGGCAACTCTCCAGTCACACATAATAGAAGACAATGAGGCCCCGTTCCTAAGAAGGTAGAATGCTCCGACTTGTACTCAAAGTTGACCTCTAATCTATACCAACACACCAGGTACCACAGTGGAAAGAGAGATCCAGCTCCAGCTCCAGAAAGTTGTCCTGTCGCATGATGGCTCAGTGGGTGAAAGCACTGTGGCCACATCTGACACCTGAGTTTTATCTTGGAGATACATACCGTGGAAGGAGGACCTACTCTCAAAAGTTGTCTTCTGATTTCCACATATGACAAGCACTATAGCACAATGTGTACACAACAAATTTTTAAAAATGCAAAGTATTACTGGAGAAGTCAGTGCTAAAATAAGGGATTATAAATGAAGTATAACATTTAAATAATTTGTGATTATTTAAGCTATAGGTAAAAGGCAAATAAAAAGTATGGCTGTGTTAAAATCCATTCTGTTAGTGAACTCTTAATGTATTTGACAAAAGTCAGTATATTTGATGTGATGGTAACCAAAGCAAGCTGGACATGGCAGGCAATAGAATCTAGCACTTGGGAAGCTGAGGCTGGATGACGTCAAGTTCAAGGTCACATTGGGCTATGTAGCAGGACCATCTCATTGAATAAGTAAATTAACAAGCATAGTACCACACATCTGCTCTGCTGTCTCCACTTGAGGCAGGGGCATGAAGAGTCTGACTGCGAGCAGCTGAGCTGTCTGAAATCCTATCTCAACAGCAACAACAGTTCAAAGTTTAGAAGGACTTTATATAAAAATAATTTTTCATCTCAGACAGTACATAACTCAGAGAACTATTATTCTGAAAATTAGAGTGAGGCTAAATTCAGCCATGTGAGATTATTGACATTTACAAATACTGTTTATAAGCACGAGAGGTGGCTCAGCAGTCAGAAGCGCTGGCTGCTTTGCAGAGGGCCCCTGGATTCAGTTCTCAGCAGCTCACAATTGTAACTCCAGTACCAGAGGATGCAATGCCCTCTTTTAGACAGCAGGTACACATATGATAACAAGCATGCATGCAAAACACACACCCCTTACATCTTCATTTACAAAGACACTTAGGATGGTGTAGAGGGAAACACCTTAGAACAGGGGTGAATCATTAAGGAACATTTAATATGAGCCTGGCTTTGTTGCACATGCCTATATTTCCAGTACTGAGTATGCTGAAGCAAGAGCATAGCAAATTTAAGACCAGCTTGAGATTCCTAATGGTGAGACCCCACCTCCAGAAAAAAAAAATACCTGAGAAACCTTACACGGTTAGACAGGAAGCGGTGCTGCAGCAGAAACAGTCTATAAATATGTTTCTCTTATTGGTTAATGAATAAAGCACTGTTGGCCAATAGGGAAGCAAGGTAGGTGGAACTAGGAGAGGTGGAGGAGTCTAGGAAATGTAGGATGGAGTCTCAATGTGATCTCAGGAGGAGAGGACGCATGCATCTTGCATTCTTGGTAAGATAAGACCATGTAGAAATACATATATTAGTGACTGGGGGTTAATAATTAAGACAGAGCTAGCCAGTAAGAAACTCTAGACATTGACCAACAGCATTATAATTAATACAGCATCTCATGTGTTACTTGGGGACGCTGTCACAGCTGGTGGGGAAAGTGCTCATAACATTTCCTCAGTCCTGAAGCCTCTTACCATTGATGTTTGTGGTATGGTCTGTTGTTTATATCATGTTTAATCTCTATTGAATTGTGTGCCAGGTGTTGTGTGTGGCTCATGCTAGTAATCATAGATTTGGAAGGCTGAAGCAGGGGGATTGCCACAAGTTTAAGGCCAGCCTATGTTACAGAGTGAGGCCATGCCTCAGAAATCACCAAAAAAAAAAAAAAAAGGTTATGTGACAATTTTCTTTATTATTAACAGTTTTTAAATAAAGAATTTTGTGTGAGTGTTGAGTGTTCTTTGTTGAATATATGCATATGTCTGTGTCCTTGAAGGCCAGATAATGGTGTCAGATCCCTGAATCTAAAATTACCCTGTGTGGGTGCTGGGAATAGAACTTGGGTCTTCTACAAGAGCTCTTGACTGCTGAACCATCTCTCTAGCCCCATATTCTGTTTGTTTGAAAGAAGATCACATTACACATGAGAAATGTGCAATACAAGTGGTGCTGGCTAGTATGGATATACAAAGGCACACAGATAAAGAGTTTAGCCCACTCTTAGCATTCACTAGAGATCTGTGAAAAGATTGATGGTGTCTAGGAAGATTGGAATGTGATTATGGGAGCTATGGAATGATGTGAACACTTGGACAGATGGTAATGATGGGAAACAAGGAGAGCAGATAGGTGAGAGCTTGTGGAAGACCCAGTTGAACTTCACAATTGATGAGATGTGGCAAAAAGAGTTGATAATTGTCCATTAAAAGAAATGTGGGTCTGAAACTAGAATGCTTGAGTAGAAGTTTCTAATGTACCTCATGAAGCACAGGGGCTTGTTTGCATGTGAGCCATTCTTTAAATGTCTCATTCATGGTTTTGGCTGTCATGTAGCAGTATTGCCCTGCCATTATTCATGGAAAATGTTGAAAAGTTCTCTGGGACTCTGGTATTTTTGTAGCTGCTATATGTGCTAAAAGATGGGCCTTGCCTTCAGAGGGCTTACACTATGTAAGCTTACCTGGTGTTGTAGTTGTACAGCTTTATTAATTTATAATCAAGTTATCATTGTTAAATGAACAAAACTTGAAAAACTTCATTCACATGAGTATGGTAAAGATTTGTTCTTCAAGGGGGGTTAAAAAAATGGTCAAAGCACAGATATAAAGTAAGGTAAACAAATACACAGTATGCCTGTGTGATTAAAATGTCACTGAGGGGAACATACCAGAAAAGGCTTTCACTCTGGTTGTCAGAGTGTTGCTAAGAAATGAAAAAGCCTCAGAAAACTGAGCTGAATACACTGTAGTCATAGCTGTCAAGGCCTTGAATGAGAGGGATCTTCTAATGTTAACTGAGCAGATAAACATTTTAGACTTGCTAATAAGATTCTTTTCCCTGCATTTCACATGCAGGTGTATGTTGTTGGAGGCTATGATGGACAGAACAGACTTAGCAGTGTGGAGTGTTATGATTCCTTTTCAAATCGTTGGACAGAAGTTGCACCACTTAAGGAAGCAGTGAGCTCTCCTGCAGTGACAAGCTGTATAGGAAAACTCTTTGTGATTGGTGGAGGACCTGATGACAATACTTGTTCTGATAAGGTAAGTTGTGTGCTTAGAGGATTCCCATGCTGTGTACAAAAGGGAGATAGATGGCTAGGTCAAGAAGTATGAAGGATCTTTTAAAAATTGTCTGGTGTCCTGTTCTGAGGAAAAGCACTGAATTTCAAGTTGCCATAGTGACACCATAACATAGGCAGTAATTTGCTTTGTGTAACAAATGTGATTAAACTCTTTTTTAAATGAGGCTAATCTCAGAATAAAAAACTTCACCATCATCTACAGGATTTAAATGCAACACAGAAAATGAGTGAGCGGAGGTCAAGGCACAAATGATACTGCTTCGGTTTCCAGCTAGGTCATTTCTTTAAATCTTTGAAGGGTGTTTTGGGTCTTTTGTTTGTTTTGTTTTGTTTTAGATGAAGAGGAAAAATTGCCTCCATAGTGTAACTAGAATATGGCCCAAAGTAGCTGCAGTTTGTCCAACTCAGAGACAAAAGGATGTGTGCCGCCTGGCATTTCAGGAAACGCCATGTTTATTCTGAGGAAGAGTATCCAATGGCTAATTGGTTTAGTGGTGATAATGGAATTTCATCAGTCAATTCATTTATTTTCTTACTTAATGTTAATATATCATCAGATGGTATGTTACTACCAAACCTGCTGATCTGAGTTCAAACCCCAGCTCCTACAGTGGAAGAAGAGCCCCAGCTCTGCAGGTTGTCTTCTGGCCTTGACGTGGGCACTGTGGCAATAAATGAGAAAGTTACTTATTTCCAGTTCATTGAGAACTTCGCTGACTAAAGATATACTACACTTAAGTTGCCTGGTGTTCTTTTTTTTTTTTTTTTAATTTTTTATTTTACATGTCAATCCCAATTCCCTCCCCCTCCCTCCCTCTTACCTTCTCTGCCCCCTCACATGCACCCTGACCATCCTCCCCTCCCCCCACCCCAATTCCACATGTAGGGCAATGCCATCCAGGTGGGGTCATGTAGATCTGTCAAGTCATTTGAAGTAGGGACTAGGACTTCTCTCCTGTCTCTAGGTTAAGGCAGTTATCCCTCCATGGAGGATGTGTCCACAAGGTCCTTTTGTGCACCAGGATCAGACCCCCCTGAATATGGGTATCTCAGCCAGAAGGACTGAGCAGTCTAAGGGGCCTGGTGTTCTTTTGAAGTAAGAAGTACCTAAACACATACAAAAATTATATTCAGATTGAGACATGATTAACTTAGATAAAACAATTTCAGAATAACATTAGATTTACTTTAAGTGTACATTGGTAAACATGGAGGCCATTCCTCTTGGAAATAATCTGTGTGTATTTTTTTTTTTTATCTTCTGTTTGGTGGTAATAAACTAGCCTCTCTGGTGATTTTCTTTTTCTTGTTTTATTCAAACAAAAGAGTTTATTCTTTACCCAAAAGCAATAGTTTTCTTAATTCATAAATTTTATTAATTAGACTATCCTCATTTAATTCTCTGAATTAGTGGCATTTGATTTTTAACTGTGTTTTTATATATTGACAGATTTTTTAAAGCAAATTTACATATTTGTTAGACATCTTACTCCATATTTTCCTGTATCATTAGGTTCAATCTTATGATCCCGAAACCAATTCTTGGCTACTTCGTGCAGCTATCCCAATCGCCAAGAGGTGCATAACAGCTGTCTCTCTGAACAACCTGATCTACGTTGCTGGTGGATTGACCAAGGCAGTGTATTGTTATGACCCAGTTGAGGACTATTGGATGCATGTACAGAACACATTCAGCCGACAGGTAACAGCACAAAGAGTCCAAACAGAGGAGACGAGTGACATGATTATTTACTTGAATTTCATTCTTCAAATATTACATAATTTTTTAAACTCCCTCCCAAGGAATTGTTTCTTATTCTCCCCCCCCCCCTTTTTCTTTTGTGGTACTGGGAATTGGGTCTAGGACCTCATGAACACTAGGTAAACATTCTACACTGAACTACATGCTCTGCCCCAAGGATTAGCTTTAGCAGATTAACCTTCTTAATCAACCTAACATGAGGTAACCATTGTATTTAGGTTTTTTACTAAAAAAAAAAAAAAAACTCAACCTTCACATTTTTCTAAATCTTGTTCCAATCTTCTGCCCTTTCTCTTTCATATTTCAGAAGAGGAGATCAAACTGAGGGCCCTCCGTGTAGAGGCTTATTTGTAGTAAAGGAAATGTTTGTACTCCAGCCTCATGAGCCACACATTCTGCCTCTTTTATCTCTGTATTCCAGAAAGGCTCCCAGCTTGCAGGTTCTTGACTCTGCTCACCTTCCTTTTACTACCAAAATGTTCTTTTACTGCCGGAACTCTGTCTCTCCTCACATGGTAGTATGTGCATGGGCATGTGAGTGCCCAGAGAGACCAGAAGAGGCCACTCAGTCAACACCTGATGTGGGTGCTGGGAACCAAACTCCAGCTCTGCAAATGACGCAAGTGCCCTTAACCACTGAGCCATCTCTCCAGTCCCCAAAGATACATTCTTAAAAGTTGCTAGTAGTCATGTCTTCTGTTTTCAGTCTCTTATTTTTTCTAAGTGTTGCTTAAACCTCTTTCCCCTGACTTAAGTTGAGTTTACTCCTGAATTACTTTATTTGCTGCCCAGGACTCACCTTGTTCCAACCTGCTGTGTGGCATTGACCATGGTGCTCCTACTCTCCTGCTGTCTCTACCTCCAGACGCCCCAGAAACTTCACTAGGTTTTTTCATTCTCTTTAAAGAGAAGCTCACACACTGGACCTGTCTGAGTCCTGTAGTCTAGTCTAAACCAGTTTGCAACCAGTTATTCTCCAACAAATCTCATGTCTCCTTGACCACCACTTTGTTCTAGACCTTCTGTTGTCTTATCTTTGCTTTATTTTTAGCCACAAAAAAAAAAAAAAAAAAAAAAGCAGCTAAGAAGTGATGGGTTTTGTTTGTTTTTTGAGACAAGGGTTCTCTGTGTAGTCCAGGCTGTCCTCAGAGTTACAGAGATCACCTGCCTCTGTTGTCACCCAAGTGCTGGGACTAAAGGCGTGCAACAACCATGCCCAGCTGTTTGCTTTGTTTTTTCAATTTCATTTTCCTATAACTTTATTCGTTACATTAAGTGTGTTATTTTTATTTTTCTATACAAACCAAGTGTTTGTTATTGGGTTGGGTTGGAGTGTGTGTGTGTGTGTGTGGTGTTTTGTTTTTTTTTTTTTTTTTTTAACCTTCTGTACTTATAATTCCACTCATTTCTCATTTTTCAACAACAAATGCAAGTTACCTTGGTCAAACTGACCTTTTCCCCCACTCTTTTTGTAGTATTCACACTGAGTATAGCAGTTGCATAGGTCTTCAAGTTTTTGTTAATTTTATTTTGTTGATTGGTCAATTTTGGTGGGTTTTTTGACTAGTTCTCAGGTAGCTGGAACTAGCCATGAACTCTCAATCCTCCTGCCTCCATCTCCAAAGGGCTGGGATTACAGGTTTATGCTATAATGCCAGGATCCCCTGTGAGTTTAGTTTTGATTTTTTTTTTTTTTTAACATTTATTTATGTGTGTCACAGCACATGTGGAGGTCTGAGGACAATGTGCAGGATTCCTCTATGTGGCTACTGGAATGGAACACAAGTTGTTGGGATTGGCAGGAAAAGACCTTTTAACCAGCAAGTTGTCTACCAGGTCACCCTTATGTTTTGGTGTGATAGTGTCTCTGTGTGTGTGCATGTGCGTGCGTGCGTGTGTGCGTGCGTGTGTGTGTGTGTGTGTGTGTGTGTGTGTGTGTGTGTGTGTGTGTTATATTATGTATGCATGCCATATGTATGAGTGTTCCCAGAAACAAGAAAAGGATCTTGAATCCCCGGAATGGTTGCTGCCCTGGATTTTTGTTTGTTTGTTTATTTTTAGATTTTATTATTTGTGGGTTTGTGTGAATGTGTGCCACATATATGCAGGTGTCCTCAGAGTTCAGAAGAGGTCATCAGAACTCTTGGAGCCAGAATTGCAGGCAGTTGAACTGTCAGGTGTGGATGCTGAGAGCTGAATGTGGGTTCTGTGGAAAGCAGCATATGTTCTTAGGAACTGAGCCATCTCTAGCCATTGCCCTGATTTTTTAATCAGGACCAGTTGGCTCCCACATGGTAGGAGAGAACAGCACCCCTGAGTTTCCTCCAGCATCCCATACATGCTCATACCCTGGTGCACATAAAATGTAATGTTCTTGGTTGTTTTGTTTTGTTTTTTTAGTAAGGGGGGGTCATTTTTAAGTTAGTGAATATTTCTTTTACTTCTTCATTACATCAAGCATTTAAACCTTTCATTAAAGTTTAGAATACTTGCATGAGAAGAAATCTGAAAGCAAGTTTGTAATCTCAGCACTTGTGAGTTCTAAGACAGGAGTATTGTTGTTAGTTCAAGGCCCACCTGGGCTACAGACTAGTAAGTGTTAACGAGCAGTTTTCCACCAGCTTGGTCCCACAGCTTTGTCTGCCCCAAATAACACATAGAGACGCTGTATTAGATATAAAGCTGTTGGCCTATTACTAGCGTTTCTTATCCTCATAAGAATATTTCTTTTGCCTAGTAATTTTTTATACACAAATATAAAAGGCTAAGGATCTCATTGTATAGAATAAAAAATGTATTGGTGGCATTTCTGTATCCCAGCTAAGACCTTTGACTGGTTTTGGGTTTTTGTTTTTTTGTTTTTTGGTTTTTGGTTTTTTTTTTTTTTTTTTTACTATGGTTAAAATTTGTTTTTCTCTGGGCGGTGGTGGTGCACACCTTTAGTCCCAGCACTCAGGAGCCAGAGGCAGGTGGATCTCTTGAGAGTTTGAGGCCAGCCTGGTTTACAAGTGAGTTCCAGGACAGCCAAGGCTACACAAACCCTGTCTTGAAAAATCAAACAGTGGAAAAAAACTAAAAAGTTTCTCATTCATTTCTTTTCAATTTAAAGTTCTCTAAAGGGATTAGTGCCCCTGTTTCTTGGTCATCTGATAATTATAATAGCTTCCCTTCACTGCAGTAAGCTATTTAAAGCCTTGTCAGTCTACCATGCCCTTCATGTCTTGGCCTCTGTTACTAACGTGTATTTACTTCATCCATGCAAATATTCAGCATTCACACATATAACAGGCATGGGCAGAAGGTAGATGAGCTGATATCCTATCTCTGTTTCTTGTACTATGTTAAAGCATGTTGTTCTTTCAAATCCTTTATCTTTAATAATTTTTTTTTTTTTTTTTTTTTTTTTTTTATGTATTTGGTTAAACAGGAAAACTGTGGTATGTCTGTGTGTAATGGTAAGATCTATATCCTGGGTGGAAGACGGGAAAACGGAGAAGCCACAGACACTATTCTCTGTTATGATCCTGCCACAAGTATCATCACAGGGGTTGCTGCAATGCCCAGACCAGTGTCCTATCATGGATGTGTAACTATTCATAGATACAATGAGAAATGCTTTAAGCTTTAAACCCAGGGTACCTCACAGAAGAACCTACGCCAGTCCAAGAGGGAAGTTTTAAAGCCTACCACGTAAGAACACATCTCCGTTGTGCTATATGCAAAAAATTAATAATCCTAATGCCTTTCTGCCCGAAATAAAATATCATACCTTTAATCCCAGCACCCAGAAGGCAAAGGCAGGTGGATTTCCCTGAGTTTGAACCTAGCCTGGTCTATATAACAAGTTCTAGGTCAATAAGGGCTACACAATAAAACCTTGTCTCTAAAAGGTAATTTGCCTATGAATACATTTTTGCATCTGTGAAAACTATGTGAGGTAGGAAAGGACACCCAGTTGTAAACTTCTTGAGGATTTGTGAACCGTCTTTTAGGAAAGTTCATTTCTTTTTTGTCAGTTATGTAGAGAATAATTGTATGACTGAAGCTTCATTTAGTTTGAATTGCCTAATGTTAACGTTTAGAACTCATTGTGAGGGGAAGAAATGAGTTTTAAACATCTCTGTCTCTGACCTTATCCATACTGGTTAATTTCATTGAAGGTGTTTTTGTTTGTTTGTTGTTTATTTTTCTAGTTGTAAAAATGTAGTGATAATTCAGCTACCATAAAATATCAAATTTTATGACGTTTTAGACTATTGTCTGTCATTAAATACTTTTTGTGAGTTTATGTAAGAGATATAAAGTGAGGAGACTTAAATTACACATTAGTCCTTAAGGAAAAAAATAAAATAACTAATGAAGAAGAAAAAATGTGATCCACTTTGGTTCTCAGGGTATTTAATGAATCATTTGAGTCCACTAAAGAAGTTCTTCCCTTGAAACTAACAGAGGAGTTGAGATCCCTTTTACAGATCCAGGAGGTGGTGCACACCTGCTTCCAGGCTCTGAAAGGTACATCCAAAGAAACCAAATTGAGACTGAAGAGTTGGCTCAGTGTTTAAGAGCTCTTGCAGAGAATTCTGGTTTGACTCCTAGCACCCATATTGGATGGTTCACAAAGGCCTATCATCTAGTTCCAAAGAATCCAACACCCTCAAGTCTCCCTGGACACCTATAGGCATGTGGTACACATAAATTCACATAGACACACATATGTATATAAAAGAAATAAACCTTTAAAAAATACATTTTGTAATACTGCTATGAGAAAAAGATAAATTTGCTGCCTACCCAGCCCAGTTAAGTTGACCTTCCTTGTTTGATGCTTTGTCAAGGACCTCTTCCCTGCCTTGTAAGCATCTACAATCCTAGGAGTCTCTACACCCGATTCCTAATAACCTAGAGCAGAGGTCACTTTGCTTAGTGGGCCACTTGTTTGTAAGTTAGCACTGAGCAGCACTGGCCAACAGCAGTTACAGTCTTATGAGAGAACTCTTGTATTTGGGAGCCATTGTATAAAATATTGGTCAACATTTTCAAATTTCTATTTAAAAATTTTTTCCTCTAGGTTTTCCACCTCCATTTTATAAAGCTTAGCAGTTTTCAAAGGGAAATACAAAAGTTTTTTCTTAGAAATATAAGTGGGCACAGTAGGAACTAGCTGAATTAATTATTGTCACTGCTGTGTGGACTGACAAGAATTTACAATGCTGGAGGTTGTCCCAGCTGTGTTTAACTTCCCTTGTCAGTGACTAGAGTGTCATTAGATTTCTGCCAAAATTCAGGTAATCATCAGAAGCCTGGTTAATTTCATTGAAGGTGTGTTTGTTTGTTTTTGTTTGTTTGTTGTTTATTTTTCTAGTTGTAAAAAATGTAGTGATAATTCAGTTACCATAAAATACCAAATTTTATGACGTTTTAGACTGTTGTCTGTCATTAAATACTTCCTCATCTTAGAATAATACACACATTTCTTAAGAGTCAGTGCTTGTTTGGGATCTAAATTCTGGGGAAAACACTAGAAAATACATTCACGAAATTGTTTTCAAGTCATAAATTTTAAATGATATAACTGATAACTATAGAAGCAATTCAGAAAACAATTATGTCAGTTGAGAGACAGTTCTATGTACAATTTAGGGTATTTGTACTGTAATTTTATAGTAAATAGCTGCATTATACTTTCATTAGATAATGGAAAAACTTTCATTCAGAAATTCTTAATAGTAAAATGTGTGAACAAAGGTGTTTTTGTAAATGCTTAGGATTCTACAAATGATAATTGTTATGTTCATGTATATTTGTAAGATTGTGTCCATTGAGAAATACATTATATAAAAGACTTTCTCAAAGTAAATTTGTATTTTAGTATTTTTGTCTATTGTAAAAGTATTATCTACTTATATTTTGTAATGTTTATCTCTCATATATCCTTGTGTTTATTGTAGTAAATTGGAAAATATCCTGAAAATCTAAATTTTTTAAGCAAATTAATTTTTCTTTATATAATTTAAAACCATGTAAATTGAGTAGTTGCAAATTATGTCAAAAGTCACAAGAAAGTATTCTTGAATTATAGAAAATTAACTTTTTAAAGCTACCCAATTGTTATTTTAACTTCTTTACTAATTCTTGATAATTGGTGGTAAGCCCTGGTTTAAGAAAAATAATTTAGGATAAAATTAGTACATTAAAGGGGATGTATCAACCATCTTGGTGCCAGACTATATTCATTTTGTTCCCCCATAACTGGCAGATTTTCTTTTGGTAGGTAATACTTACATGCACCTCTAAGTTATGTGCATGTGTATGCTTTTATATAGAGAGACATACATCACAAACACCCAGTGATTTTTGCAGAGATAGATTTAAGATAAGAAATTAGTTGATCATTTTCTATTCCATTGCAGAAGACTAAATAAATATGAACACTTCTAGAGTACTCTTTGTTGTTGAGACAGGATCTCTGTAGCCTGTGCTAACCTCAAACTCTTGGCAGTTCTTTGTCTTCTGAGTGCTGCAGGTACAAGTGGAAGCCAGCACCAGTTTTCTAGAATAGTCGTTTCATCTGAGAGTACAGATCTGACTGTGAGGCTCTGTGCACTGGTGTGATAGCAGTGTTAAGGGTCAGAAAGCAGACTGCTCAGATCACAAGAGCCTGCTGTGATCATCGGCTGTAAAGAACTTGAAGGTGTGTTTTGTGGATCAACAGAAAATTACACTTGGTTTTTGGGTGCATTTCATCATAAACTTGAAATGTTTTCCAACTCTTCTTCATGTATGTGACAAGATGGCCAGAGTTCCTCCTTTTCTACTGTGCCATCCCCACTGACTTTACTAACAGATGAATTGGATTTTCTGTAGCTGTTTTCGTAGATGATTGGGATCCAGGTGTTTACTCCATTTGAATCAGGTTTAAAGATGTAAATGCTCAGGGAGGGTGTGAGCTACTCACTGCTGCCTGTTTGGGGTGTGTGCAAAGTGCTGTCTCTTAAATGCCATTCAGTTGATGACTCTGAACTAAAATTCTTTCAAAAGCTTCACACATGACTGTGGTTGTGGTTGAACATTCACTCTACTTAGAAGGATGACAGTGCTTTCTGAGCTGATACATTCTCCTGGTGAATATGAATTGTTTATGTATCTGCTGTCAGACTCCCATTTTGAAACTCAGGAAAGACAAAAGTGGTTGTTTTTTTTTTTTTTTTACTTTTGTCCATATCCAAACCGGGTGTGTGCTGCTTTTTCCTGATCTGACAGTAGAGGCTAAAAATCACTTTTAAGAGCCCATCCATGCATGAGGAGAGGGAGTTGAGATATCTGTGTGTTCTTTTAATGTCTTGGGGTGTATATGTAAAAAAGAATACAAACCCCAGATTTGATGTGGTACCAAGTGATAGCATAATGTCTAGAGGTTTCCTGTGAACTGCCTTGTTTCATAGTCAATCCAAAACATTACTTGTTAACATGATTTGGCCTTTCTAGACTTAGTTGCACATAGCTGAGTATGGTGGCAATGCCTGTAATTGCATCCCTCAGGAGGTGGGGGCTGGACGCTCAGGAGAGTTCAAGAGCAGCCATGGCTATACAGTCAGTTTGAGGCCAGACTTCACCACATGAAATCTCATGTGAGAAATAATAATGGAATTGTTTGGAATTGTGTAGAAAGCTAGAATTATATCACTTTACCTATTACCATGTTAGATAAATAAACAATTCACTCTACCACATAACCAAAATGAAGCAATCTGGCTGACCTATAAGGCAATAGCTTTGACTCACTAAATATATTTACAGCTACATCTAATGCTGGGCATCAGACACCACTCCCAAGAGTATAAAGTGAAAATACCAGAGATATTTTCAGAATATTTTAGCTATTTTAAAGTGTTGTATTTGTAAGCAGGTAGGAGAGATGGTTCAACAGTTTGGAGCACTAGCTCTTCTGCTCTTGTGAAGGATCTGGAGTGGGTTCCAAGCACATTCATGGTGGCTCACAAGCATCTGTAACTCCAGTCCTTGGGGTTCTCCTCCACAGGCACCAGGCACACATATGTCGCACATAAATTCTGTGCAAACACTCATAGTACAGGCAAAACGAGTCATACAATAAAAAAAATGAAAAATATCAAAACATTGTATATGAATCTTTTTACATTTGTGTGATTACCTTAAATATTAAGCTTGCATAGTGCCAAAGGTGATCGTAAAGTTTTAAAAAGTGAGGTCATAACTTTATATATCGTTCCAAAGAAGTTCTTTTAATGTTTGTGCCTTGAATCCCCGGTGCTATTTCAGTCTGTTAAAACACAGCTTGCATAAACTGCAGATTTGCTTCCAGTGCAGTTAATGCATTTCTTTTTCTTTTTGTTTTTTGTTTTGTTTTGTTTGTTTGTTTGTTTTTAAGTTTTCTTTTTGAAACTGGCATGGTTTTATCTTTTGAGTCAGGTTCATACATAACTCAGACTGGCCTAGAACTCTCAGTTTTGCTGAATATGATCTTGAACTCCATCCAGTTCTTTCAGTGTCTCCCAAGGGTTCATACAGCATGTGCCACCATACCTGACACCTGACTAACTGTTTGGGTTCTTGTCTCTGTGTTGGTTGGTAGTTTGGTTGGTTGATTTAATGTAGCCCTGGCTGACCTGGAACTCAGTACATGGCCAGTCTGGCCTTGAGCAATGGCAATCCTGCCTCTGTCCTTAAATGCTAGGATTATAGGCTTGGGCCACCACATCCAGATGCCCTGAAATGCTTTTGAGAGTCCCAACTATGCTTTTGAGAGTCCCAACTGTGTAGTTGTTTGGCAGAAAGAGACTGTTAAATGAGGTTGGTTTACATTTGTAACTCTTGGTACCTAGGTGCTTTTAAAATTCTCAGATAAACACCCATTGAGCTCTCATAAAGGTCATTGAAATATCTAATAGTGAAGAAACTGTAATTATTTCTATTATGTCATTATATTAGTAGTTAGTTCTGCTCTAGACTTTTTATTTGAACTTTCTTGAGAAAGCACTTTGCCTTCTTTATCACCCCCTACCCCTGCAGTGTGTGATTTTTCCAGAGCTGGCTGAGGTAAGGCTTCAGAACTGAACAGCTGTAACTGTAACGTGCTTCACTGTAACTGCTTTCACGCCTATTACTTTCAGTTTGAATCCTCACAGTGAAAAAGAATGTTTTCTATGTCCTTAATGCTTATGTTTTTGTTTAATGGCACTTTGCCATAATTTAAATTTTTAAAAGTTGTATCTAATGTCTTTTAAATATTACTTGACTATATGGTTGCATTAAATTTTGTTTACCAAAAATCTGATGAATTTTAGTTTTGTTTTGTTTTTATATACCCAACTGATTATGTCAGAAGGGACAAGGGGGAAATCAGACATTTATATTTACCAGAATAACCATAAAATAACTCAGAGCATAAACAAGAAACTAAAAAGTGATTTGGGGAGAGGAAATGGTGGCCAACAAGAATACTAAAGTTGTGTGTTGAGCATGGTCCCTGGTGTTGAGAAGGAACTGTTTATATGAAGCATAGCTGGGGTTTAATAAAGAACTTTTTAATACAGTTTACCTGTGAAGTTTAAGAGAAAGGACACAGAAGGCAGGACACAGACCGATCCAAGGACATGGGTGTGGCTTAACAATCAGCCTAATACCTTGGAGAGCAGGAAGAGTGTTGGATCTCCTGGAACTTGAGTTACAGTTGTGAGCAGCCATGTGCCTGCAGGGAACCAACTCCCAACCCTTGAGTGGTGGAATTTTTCAGAAATGAAGGCCTCTGGCTCTTCCTGTATTTCTTTGCTTTGCAATCCAAAGGCACGAAGCTTGTTCATGGGAGGACACTTGATGTACCCATTCTCACTAAAGGAAATATTGTAAACTGTTGAGAATGCTGGCTCCTTGTCAAAATTAAATAGTATACCCCAGTTTTATGAGTTATGTCTAGGGACTGGCTGCTCCGTGGGCAGAATCCTGCCTGGCTTCCTTGAGGTCATTTGCCCTCTTAAATTATTGTGACAGCAGGACAGACACATTTTCCATTCTTGGGGCATTGTCATTAAAAATCAATCTCCTGGGGCATGATGGTACGTACAGCCCTTTAATGCCACATGGGAGGAATAGGCATATATAAGCATGTGAATCTGTAAGTTCCAGACCAGCCTACTCTACATATCTAGCTTTCAGCCAAGGCTACACAGTGAGACCCTGTCTCAAAACAATTTACATACATATTTATGTATATACTGTGATATATATATGGCACATATATATGAGCTAGTGATTTTTTTAAATATCAGAGATTGTCCTAAAAATCATGTTCTGTTTAAGGTTTAGATTCACCTTTGTGAGGTGAACAAAAGGAGAAAATGATAGTTTGTGTAGGGAAACCAAGGACCACTGACAATAAAAACATCTCACGTGAAGAATTGGGAGTCCAACCAGGATGTGAGTCGAGAACACACATTCTCTAGTAGACTGTGTAACTTTTTTCTCTTTAGGACCTAAGTGGACAACAAGTTCTTAAGAAATTTCGATTAAAGCAGCCTTAATAATTTCATACAAGATCACTGAGGACAGTACCACCTGTTAGAAGTCGGATAAATGGGGGAGGATAGCTTTTACTTTCTCAATATTTTTAAGTTGGTTTGCCCTTCTATACATGTTTATTAGGTTTCTGGATATGGTTAAAAGCAGCTTCCCCAAATTTTTTAAGTTGAAACAAAGGCAATTTTTAAAAATTTAAAAAAATTTTAAAATAAGCCTAGTGAACGGCAGATAATTATGTATTGTTGCCCTTGTAAGGGATTGAGTAGGTCCATTCTGACAAGAACAGGTTGGTATTTAGCTCTG